CTTTTGGCCATACACAACATTGAACTCTTTCTTCCCATTGTGTGGCTTTTTCTAAGCATCAGAGAGTGTAGCTCCTTGGATATTTCCACTTTTGATTCCAGCTTCAAACCTTTCGCCAGTCAATATTAGCTCGGTGAACTAGACCAAGGAGCTTCCGATTAGATAATTGAAGAAAGGCTCCGTCAAGGTTTGCATAAAGAAGTCAATCAGCTCCCTATCAGTTAAGGGTGGCTGCACTTTGCCTGCCAAGTCTCTCCATTTTTGGGCGTACTCTTTGAAGCCCTCACTGGAACACATGGTCATATTCTGTAATTGCACACGAGTTGGTGCAAGATCAGTGTTGTACTAGTATTGCTTGTAGAAAGCAGCAACTAGATCTTCCCAGGTGCGGATGCGAGAACTCTTCAATTGATAGAACCATTCAAGTTGAGTCCCTACTAGGCTCTCTTGGAAGAAATAGATCTAAAGCTTCATATCAGTTGTGTATGGTTGAATCTTACGAACATAAGACTGTAAGTGCATCTTAGGGCAAGAGACTCCATCGTACAGGGAAAAGGTAGGGATTTTGAACTTTGGCGGGATGACCACTCCAGAAACCAAACCCATGTCTCCTAAGTCCAAGCCAGGTATCTGCTGAATATCCATAGCATTGAGGCGATCCTCCAACTATTTGTACTTGTCATCAACAGGAAGATATTGTTCCTCAGAGTAGTTAGCTTCGACTTCATCAATCTCCAGACTGTTGTCTTCTTCATGACTATCCCCCACGTTGGATGGAGTTAAGAGATCTAGAGCTCTCTTGGCTGGTCCTATAAGTCTTCTTCCCAAGTTCAGGACGCCTACTGACTTCTTAGGCTTCTTCTTGCCTTTAAGAAGGAGAGTCTTCAGGTCCTCTTACCCCTTAGCCATGGCCAGGAACATTTGTTGGAACTGGGCATTTTGTGCTTGGAGATCTTTCACTGTTTGTTCCATATCCATCTTACTGAAATAAACAGTAGGAAGATAAGGAGACCTGTATGGGAGAAACTTGTCACGGTATGATGCATGATGTGTGGATGCATGTTTTCAAGGATCTCGCGGGGTAAACACAAGAAAATGTTAGAAGTTGAACTTTGATCAACATCTTTGATTGGAGAACTTTGTATCGATGGATGTCCTTCCATGAGAATTAAGTTCACCATGTCAAGTGGGTCATAGCCCTTGACTCAAGTTGTTGTACTTGATCTTTGACGGTGTTGGTTAGAGGAAAATAAATCCTCTTTCCCCTTGATAGACGTCTGGTTCAATGTGACCCTACATCATAGACCCTTGAGATCCATGAAATGGTTATTGAAAATGCTATGGTATGATGTCATGATGTTATGTACAAGTATGCAAAGTAAGCAAGTTTATATACAAATAATCATATACACCCAAAGCAGATAAGTCCTTAGGTTTAGGATTGTATGGAGTTTGTAGGTAAGTACCCTCTTGAAGTTTAGTTGGCTCAACCTGTCCTAGTTAATAGTAACCAGGTTCTAAGGGATCTCAATATCACTGACCTTTCTTTTAGGCATTGTCTCAATATCACTCTTCCTGACATGACTCGTCCAACATTAAAGAATCCCCCCCTTCCCCAGAACAATGCTCTAAATGTAGAATAATAATTGATACAATCAATGGTTGATAGTGCAGGAACTTCAACAACCGTGAAGTAACCCCTCATGTTATAAGCCAAATGCCAGTGTCAATGATATCACCAGAAATGGTGGTTTCCCCACCAAATTCGGCGAGTATTCCATCTACCCAAGGGTCACATAAGCAATCATAGGAGACCCTAAGCCTTCTTTTCTCCTAATCTTTATGCTACCCCCTGGTAGTAGGGAATACCCTTATGGAATTTTCAACTGCAATGATGGCAGACCTGTAAACTAACACATCAACATATAAAAACAATACAATGTTTATTTCGTCACCCTGTTACGTTTGAAAGTATGTCACATATAAGTATACATGTATGTTTAAAATGTATAAAGTGATTAAAGTAAGAGTATCATACCCACATGGAGTGAAATTGTTACTTAAATTGATTTTGCAAGGAACTATCTTTTGAAATTAAGCATGGGCAAGGAGAGAAATAATAATTGAGTGTCACAAGTTCAGTTTCCTCTTAAAACATATCTAAAACAATGTATAGTAATAGTGATAATATATCAAGAGAGATTGTGTTGAGATATGATTCATTAATATTGTTGAAGTTAATATGTGTTCATGATATGTAGTGTCGTGCCAGGGAATGTCAGAGTGATCTAAATGTATATTTCTACAACATCAAAGCATGCGTCAAAGGACAAAGGAACAAATCTCTAAGTCACACTCATAACCCTATAATACATCTACTTATATTCTAAAATCTTAAATAGTTGTAGTTTTTTTTATCTCTAAGTGAACTAATCAAGTGAATATCTCTCTATCCTACTATTTTCTACTACTTTTATTAGGAAATCCACTTGTTGTTGGATCTCTCATAACAACAAGTTATTATCTTTTCCTAAGTTATTCATTCAAAGGAATAGATTTGTAAACAAGTTATCACATGATAAAACAAAACACTAAATAACACACCATTTAACATAAAAACAACGCAATATTAACTTCACATTTCTTAACAACAAAATGTTTAACTCATAATGAACTGAGTACAAACTACAAGCATGGTTCTCAAAGGATACATTCTTAAACAAACACTGAAAAAGAATTATAAACCTAAGCGTTACTTGAAGACTCCTTGAGATGAATAATTAGAAAGGGATGACTCCAGTCGCGCTAGAACTCAACAGATGGTACAAGATTGGGTGAGAAGAAGGAACTCTTTTACTCTCCACTATCCTCACACTACTATCTTTTGTATTTTCTCTTGGAAATTTCTGAACTCATTCTTTTCATTCTTCATCAAAGTCTATTTATGAGCATGAGCTAAGGTTTCTTGTGATGTCTTAGATCATGGATCCAATATGAGGAAATCACATTAAGCCCATTCATGAATCAACGCCATCACCTTATTTCTCCTGCTTAGCCAACAAGATATCTGATACAAATGAACATTGGGGGAGGACAAAGCGTCATGTGGAAGGCTGCCACGGTAGGGTGCAGAAGGCGTTGCAAAGTGCATATAGTACTATTGTACCTTCTTTTGTCTTCTGGCGCCTCCAAGCCTTATCCACTTGATTCAAAATAATTTTCTTTTATGCAAAGCAAAGATCCCCTCCAATGCAACCATTCTTCCATGTTTGCCCTAGAAACCCATCTAAATACACTATTTTTCTCCTATAGCTAAGTCCAAATTTCGCTTAAGTTTGCGCTCCCAAGCATCATCCATTGCAGTCTTGCCTTAGCTCGATAAAGTTAACCTTAAATTAAGTGCAAAACAAATCAAAACAACAAAAGGGAGCACCTATTGCGCTCCAAGCAAATTACTATAAAAACAACTAAAATGAACTAAAGCATCAACTAAAAAGAATTTTAACTAACAATAAGTGATGTCAATAATTAATACCATAAGTGGCACGTCAATTCGGACTTGGATTGATATTAATCCATTTTGGGAATTTCTTATTCTACCCCATGCCCAAAAGAAAGACCCTTTGCAATTCCGAAATTGACCATCGCAAACCAGAAATGCATTTCCGGTTCGCACCATATATTTTATAAAAACAGGCCAAATGTGGTTTCACCCTTCAAAATGTAAAAAATAAAACCGGAGACATACTTTCGTTTATGTACCAGTATTATGTTTCCGATTTTTAGAGCAGGAAGATTAATTTTTTCTGCACCTTGTCATTTCGTATATAACCAGAAGTATACTTCCGATTCTAATTTATATAAAATCGGAAGTGAAATTTACGTTTCAACTTTTACACAAGGATATGATTTGTATGGTTCATGTTTGCCTCCAACTACAATAAATAACCTCCCTTGTCATATTATTTCATACCACAACACCAAAAACCAGAAATGAACATCAAATGTCATGTTGGAGTCCACTTTACATGCGCTACACCATCAGGAGAATTTAAGTTCACAAAGTACACCCCAATTGAAGATGTGCATGAAATATTGCAGGAACTTGTGCTTTTTGGCGACAATCACAAAGTTGTGAAGATCGAGTATCGCTCGCTATCTGTTGACAAAGATGAGAAGCTTGTGTTCATCAACCGTGAGCTGAAGAACGACCCTGATATACATGCTATGTGAATTACTTTTACCATTTTTGAAGAGAAAGTTCCGATCGAGCTAGATGCGACTATTTCAAGATCGATCGATGATATTATCATGATGTTGCAACATCCACGTGGACATTGATTTGTAATGTTGGATTTATGTTAAAATCATTAATGTATTTCTTATATTTATATTATGAATTGTATTTTGAGTTTGTGATATTGATGTTATTCAATGATATTTTTCTGATTTCTATGTAGCACAAAATCAGATTTACTTCTCTGGGTCAAAACTAAAAATTAAATTTCGATTCTAATATATAATTTATCAAATTTTAATACATACCAAAAATATAATTTCAATTTTAAAAAATTTCACGTGATACATAAGAAAATCATGAAGGTGAAATTAAAAATTCCCATCCGTTTTTTTAGCATTATAAACTTTAATATTTTAATAGTGCAACGCAAAGCTTTTGGCACTTCCTAAAAAAACACTATTATTATTCAAAAATAAAAAGTACTTGCCCTACGCAACGACGTCGTTTACCCCAAACACTTCCTAAAAAAAAGCACTATTATTCAAAATCTTAATTTACCTTAAACTTTTCATTCAATACTAATCCAAACTACTTTCCTTAAAAAGCATTGCCCTACGCAACGACGTCGTTTACTCGCGGGCATGGCATTGTAAGCAGTAACCGACGTCGTTGCGGCCGTTGCATTGGGTATCTGTCGATCGCCGTACCGGAGAACCGAAACCAGAAGAATCAGAACTGAAAAGTTCAAAAAAGCCTTCGAATGGCTCCACCCAAGTCTAGAGGAGCCACTCGGAGCAGCAACGCAAGGATTCTTCTCTTTTCCTTTCTCCTCGCTCTCCAATACGGCGCTCAACCTTTGATTTCCAAACGCTGCATCAGGTTTTTCTTTCACCTTCTCAAATTCTATTTTTTAACAATTTTTAACTGTTTCTAATATGGCTATGAATTTGACACCAGTATAGTAATCAACTAATCATCATAACTGGTCTGTGATACTATGAAGCCCTCACACCTCAAATACGACACTGACACGACCACAGCTATATTAATTTGAAAAAAATAATAAATTAGACTGTAATTAGACTGTAATCACATGTTTCGGTGCAAGTGTCTGATACGGACACAGACACACTTGTGTCGTGCTACATAGTTATGATATCACTTTTAACTTAGGTTAAAAATACATTTGTCCATGTGATGGATGGATTTAATATCATTAGTCATTCATCTCCTTATGCATTGATCATTGAATTAACATTGTAATTGTGAATGACCATGTGAAACATGCCTTAATAACTTACTTTTCCCTCTTCCAACAGCCGTGAAGTTATTGTGACTTCATCCGTTTTGGCATGCGAGGCTGCAAAGGTAATTCTTGAAATTTACTGAATGGTTTTGGCTTGTTTTGTTAGAAAGCATGTACTGTACATTGTTTTTTATTATTATTGGGAAAATTTATGTATATTTTTAATCTGGTTTTAGGTTATATTTGCATTGTACTTCATGACAAAAGAAGGTAGTCTGGGAAGAATGTATAAAGAATGGACTTTGGTTGGTGCATTGACTGCATCAGCACTTCCTGCCGCTATATATGCACTGCAAAATAGTTTGTTGCAGATTTCTTACAAGAATCTTGATTCACTCACATTCTCAATTCTGAATCAGACAAAAATCTTTTTCACTGCATTATTTACATTTTTCATGTTGAGGTATGCTCCTGCTATAACAATTGTTAATATCTTTCTTATTTATGTTAATGCCCATTTGTACAAATGTTAATATCTTTCCTATTTATGTTAATGCCCATTTGTTCAAATATGTCTAAGTGGAGATGTTAAACTGTTATCCATGTGTCATGTAAATGGTTTCATTCATTAGCTGTTGTTTCGGCATAAAAAATTGAAGTTAATTTATTTGTAGAGCAGGAGTAGTGTCTGTTGTGATTTTGGCCTACCATGGTGTAAGTTTTGTGCAAGTTGTTTTCTTTGAGGCCAGTGACTACAATATTGCAGATCTTTGGAGGTGCTCAACCTCCCTAGCCTCAACATCCTTATTGTCTCTCCTATTTCCTCTTACTGGGATACATTAATGTCCAATCCTATGTCTATCCCTACCTAACTATTTCCAACCAGCTAATGAACTTGTTAAATATGCTTGGATCTCATCACAAAAGCTAGCTCAAAGGGCCAGGTTGCCCTCACATATTATATGTTCAATAGCTCAGAAACCTAAGCAATATGAGACTTCAAACAAACTCCAACAACACAAATACATATTCAACACCCACCCTCAAGCCTAGCGTGGGCCTGGAAAACAAACTCCAACAACACAAATATATATTCAAAAGAATTGAGTAACAAAGTCTTGGGTGGTATTACTTAACAGGCTTTTCTTGGGAGATTCTTCTAAGTGGTTTCTCTTATCTTCTCTTGATGGGTATCTGTATTTCTTCCATTCCATGTGCTTTTTTTGGCCGCTGGGTCATTCAACATTGCTTTTCTTCACTTGGTTGCACTTGGATGGTTCAATTTCTTTTCTCTTCTTGATGACAGCTTCCTCTTAAAACAGGATGTGTTGTTTTATGCCGGGTCTGCAACTCTGCTACTTGAAACAAGTTAAAGCTTAGTGGTGGTATAAGGTTATTAACTATAGGCGGAGTGTTAAAAAAAGTTAGTGCTAAGTTTATCAGTCTTACTGTTTTGGAAGCCTTGGATCTATACTTGTAGTACTAGTACTTTACCTGATTATTAAATAAAATTGGACTATGAAATTAGGGGTTAGCAACTTATTACATCTGTCGTTCATATTTCAGACTGTTATACATCTTTCCCTCTTTTCCCTCTTTTCTAGCTCTATACCTGAATTCTAATACTGTCCACTACAAGGCATCTGATCATACTTAATACAGGCAAAAACAAACAATTCAACAAATTGGAGCCTTGTTCTTGTTATTAGCTGCAGCAGTTTTACTAAGTGTTGGTGAAGGCTCTAACAAAAGTTCTACTAGTGCTAATGCTGATCAAGTTTTATTCAATGGAATAGTTCCTGTACTAATTGCTTCAGTGCTATCTGGACTAGCTTCTTCCCTGTGCCAATGGGCTTCTCAGGTTACCAGAACTTTAAATTTTCCGTTCAAACCTAAGTTTTTTGAATTGATTAATATTTCTATTTATCCACTTGTTTTCTTCTGTCACAGGTTAAGAAACACTCATCATACGTAATGACTGTAGAAATGTCGATTGTTGGAAGTATATGCTTGCTTGCCAGTACCTTGAAATCTCCAGACGGGGAAGCTATGAGACGTCATGGATTTTTTCATGGTTGGACTCCTCTAACTTGGGTAATGTTCTTACCAATATTTTTCTTGTGATATGATTCTTTGGGAGGCGGATTTAATAGTTTTTGTTGATTACCCTAACTGCATATTGACTTTCGCTAACATAACTAAAATGCCTTACATCACATACATTTGTATTTTGTTAAATCTCATACATTTGTGTTTCTAGTAGATGAAAGTGTTATCAACTTATTAATTGTATTGATTAGCGTGTTAAAAAAAATTCAAAATCCATAGTACGAACTTTTTAGTGCCTTGTCCTGGGCATTGTTATCAACGTGTAGTAACTATGTTTAATATATATTGATCTACATCAACTTGAACAGTTGCATATTGTTTTTAATTCATTTCAGATCCCAGTAATTTTGAATGCCCTTGGTGGAATTCTTGTTGGTTTAGTTACAAGCCATGCTGGCGGTGTTCGGAAGGTAAGGCTTACTTTGTGAACTCAATTAGTTTTGGGATATACTATCTACAGATGACGGATGAAAACTATCATATTGTAGTTGGTCCTTCTTGTTAGTTAACAATGTTTCCACACCCTATATCACGAGGTTGATTGTAGAAAACAGATTCTATGCATTTGATTGTGTTTTTTTTTGTAATGACTAATGTTAGTATGCTAGTTTTATGTTGTGGGTGGGATAGAACCATCAACCTCACCTCTCTTACTCCAACCACCAAGCCAACCTTATAGTACTATCTCTTAATTTGATACTCCCTCCGTTCCACAATGAGTGATTTAGTTGACCATTTCGCACAAATTAAAGAAAAAAGTATAATTGAAAGAGAGAGAATAATACTTTTACTAAAGTATCCCTTATCAAGTATTGGGAATTGTAAAAGTAGTAGTATCGGTTAGAGTGGAAAAATTGAAATGGGTCATTCATTTTGGGATACTTTATTATTCCAAATAGGTCACTCACATGGTTGTAAAAAATCAGGATCTCAATAAAGAGCGTTAGGATATGGAAAAAGCGTAAACTCTTAGGATTGTAACTCGGATCGTAAGATCCCAACAAATAGACAAAATTATAAAAAATAACTAGGAAAAATAACCTTAACATAAAATTCTCATTAACTTAATCATAATAGCAAATATTCAATTAAAAAAACATAACTTCCTCAAACATAAAATGTAAGGAAGGTGTATTGGAGTGCAAGGATGGAAAAGATGAGAAGAATAGAATGACTTGGTTTGAATTTATAGAATAGATGAAGAGAAGAAACCCAGTCATGGTATGATTAATTGTTATAGAAGAAATAGATGAAGAGATATTAGAGTTCCAATGGTTTTGGTGGCTGGACAGCTTTCACGATAATTGTTTTGCAGGTCTCAAGTATTTAAAATATTCCAAGTCCCAAAACCCTAAAAATATGAGCGCCGCTGTTAGGGTTCAATAATGGGTCTGTTTCTGGGCCGGGTCAAAAAAGATCCAAAACAGGCCAAAATAAAAAAAAAAGAATCGTTGGGATCTTACGATCCCACGATTTTACAATCTTCCTCTACGCTTTCAGCGCTTCTTCCAATTTCACGATCTTTCTGCCAGTTAAAGCCGTGGATGGTTGCCAACTCCTAAGATCGTACGCTTTTGGGAGTTAAAGCGCGATCCTAACAACCATGGTCACTCATGGTGCGACGGAGGGAGAAGTATATTTGTGGGGCTTTAATCTACATTCTAATATACATTATTTTTGGAGAGAGATTATTATTTCACTTTATCTTAGCTTTTAGGGGCTTTAATCTACATTCTAATATACATTATTTTTGGAGAGAGATTATTATTTCACACTATTGGTGGAGCTATAGAGGCAGTAACTGCATAAATTTTTGGTACTTGATTGAGTTATTGATAATTTGCTACTGGACCATATGACAATGTATGACTTCGAAACTCATTTTACTGGGACTTTGGGAACAAAACATCCTTCATGTTTTATGATTTATACAAATTTACTTAAGTGGTTTTTCTTCAACGTGGTCGCAGGGATTTGTCATTGTCTCAGCTTTACTCGTTACAGCATTGCTACAGTTCATTTTTGAAGGAAAACCGCCTTCGTTATATTGCCTTGTGGCTCTTCCACTAGTGGTCAGTAGCATTTCAATATATCAGAAATATCCCTACCAGATTAAGAAGAAGGAATCATAAAACTTGACTGCCACAGTACTGGAAAGTTACTTCTTTAGTTCCCCAATGAAGCTCCTCTGTTTTATATACACAATATATAAGCATTTTGTAAATGATAGAAGGCAAGCATTGTTTTCAATGTCTGCTCGATCTCAATAGAATGAGGATGTTATATATACTTTTATTTTTCTTTTCTCTTTTTTATTCTGGAACGTTTGAAAAGGCCATTTATTTTGGTCTTTTCTTCAATGTGTGGATAGAGGTCCGAAAGTGGTTCATTTTGAAAGTTATGTTGCAGAAGACAAATAGACAATGGCTATATTATATATATACTGTTGTTGAAACTTGAAAGTGATTTACTTAAAATAAATTATTTTAACCATTTTTCTTCGATGAACTTGAACATTTTATGACGGGGTTGAATATTCTTATGTTCTTGAATAACTGAATATCGTCTATTAGGAAAGGAAAGATAATAGGGGACTGTTCAATACCCCACGACTTACACTCCAACGAAAATTTCAAAAATATTTCTAAAATTTGGATTTTAAAATCCAGATGCACTTAGTAATACACAACATACTCTCTTTGGAACACACGAAAAACATGAGTTAAAAATAGAGCAAAACCACGCAACAACACACTACACCTATGCATAATCCTAGAACCACGCAATTTAAAACTAATTTGGAGATCAATGTTTGGATTTCATTTATGCAAACAGAGCAAAACCAAAGCCATCAACAACCATTCAAATCATACTATTGTTTCATCTTTCTTCAAGCATTATGTAGGAAAGTTGCCTACGCGCGTTGAAGAAGAAGTCGCGCGTCACAATGTTTTGGCAGAATTTGTGCAAGCTTGGCGTCCAATGTCAGAATGACTCATATTATATCTTTTCGGAAAAGGAATCGGCCCAAGAGTGCAACTCATTACTTTGCAATGATCTAAGGGTTTTTAAGCCATTTAAGTTCGTTTCAGGTTCGAAAATAGCATTTTACTATTTCCTACAATTTTAGCCATTTCTATTTTATTTGTTTTATTTATTTGTTTCTATTTTGGATTAAAGGCCCATAAGGTCCATTAGAGTTTCTTTGTTTTTTGTATTTAAAGACCTTTGACGTGACCATAAGGATTATCTTTTATTATAATAAAATTGAGAGTTTTATTTTCTCTTTCCGATGGATTCTAGAGTTTATCTGACAGGTTTTGCGCTTGCAACGCTGTATTTTTATTATAGATTTAGCTCTTGTTATTCCCTAGGATTTTCGACTATGTCAGTTGATATTAGAGCATGTTTCTTCTGTTTTTTTCGTAGCTTGATATCCATGGCTGATCAACCAGCAATCAGAGTAGATTTTGAGAGAATTACCGCGACTTTTACCGCGAATCTAACTACATTGACTGAACAAATGACAAACTTAGAAAATGAGGTGAAGAACGCCTACAACAACGAGAATCAACGAAAAGACAGGAAATGAGAACATGTTAGGGGTGGAAAGTGTGACACCCCAAATAATCCAATTATTAAATAATTAGAATTTTTAATTATTAATTTAATTGGAAATTTAATTATTGGTATTTTTGGATTATTGGAATTAATTTAATTAATTAAAGGAAAGAAGTATTGGTGGTGTGAAGAGTGATTAGAGGTGTGAGGGGTAAAATACTCTACTCTTACTAATTACTAATTTAATTATTTTATTGGAATAATAAAAGGAGTATTAAAAGGAAAAAGAAGAGAAAGAGAGTTATTTTGGAATATTCATCATACGTGCATTTGAGAAGAGGAAAAAGAAGGAGAAAACCGGAAGCGTCAGAATTCGAAGAACCCACAAGGTAAGGGGTGATTTCGATTAGTTAATTCGTATTATCGGTTTAGATGTTCAATAGTATGGATCATAGTATGTTAGGGAATTCCGGTTTGGAATTCTAGGGTTCCGTGGAATTGTCCCTATTGCGTCGAATTGTAGGTTGAAAACCATTAGGGTGTTAGATGATAAAAAGGAATGATGAAATAATGTTGTTTGATGTTATAATGGTGCAAAATAGATGTGTTTTGGTGTTTCTCATGTTGCAATTCGTATGGGTATGTTTGGAATTGGTTTAGAATGAATAAATGCTGTCAAAAGTGCAGAATTTGACTCTGCAGGTCGTGGGAACCGGTTCCCAGTGGGGAGGAACCGGGTTCCGCTGTGTGAATTTATAAAAACTGGCAAAAATGCACGTAGGAATCGGTTCCTGTATAGGTAGGAACTGGGTTCCCATACATTTTTCCAGAAGCGTGATTTTTGAACTTCGCAGGAACCGGTTCCTGCATATGTAGGAACCGGGTTCTGCTGTAACTTTTTGAAGAATATTAAACTTTGAAAATTCATAACTTTCAAACCGTAAGTCCGTTTTGAGTGCCGTTTTGGACGTTATTTCTTAAATTTAATGCTCTATTTTTTAAAATGAAAAGATTTCCTAAAACCTGAAATTATTTTGAAAATGAGTCAAATCCCGGAATAAGTGATTATTGGCTAACGCACATGTGTGTGTATGTAGCAGTGAACCTGTGATGGATGGATGTATTAGTATTGTGTGAATGAAAGGCATGTTTATGTTGCTAATGATGGCGTGCATGATCGTTGAGATATCATGTTTTTGGTTTTGGTTCAGTTATGATAAATTGATGTATTTCATAGACTGATTTGATGTTGCATGCTAGTGATGTGCGTGCATATGCATTGTTTTGGTGAAGTTAATTCCCATTGTGTGGAATTTGACTTGTATTGCCGTTAACCGATACCCGGGTGATGATGGGTGGTTAGGCTGGATTCGTATCCGGGTGTTTATGGACGAATCGATGGTTGCTGTATCCGGTTGATGATGGATCAGTGTTGGGTGACTTGGTCACGTGTTGGTACCACATGCATTGTGTCTGCATTTGTGTTTGCATGGAATTGTAACATGTTAGGATGTCTTCCAGTGTTACAATTTTTTGGTTGATTATTTATTTGTGCATAATGACTTGTATGATTGGAACTGTGTGTTGAATCTGAATTTATGCTAAAATGGGTGAAATAATATGCTTGTGATATAATGTTGATTGAGAAGCTTATAATGCATGTTAATTATGAGAAATCTCACCCTTACTTTAACAATTTCAGATTAAAGTTAGCAGCTCAGGAGTTGGTGAGGATGACTCTAGAGCTATGTTACTTTAAGTCTGCGTGTCAGTGTCGTGCTCTGATAGGTTGTAACACTGGGGAACGTTTAGTTGAGGAATTAGTTATTATTCAATTGTTTCTTTGAATTTCATTGGGAATAATTATGTTTTGGTTTATTCCGTTTTGGTTATGGTATTTTTCCGCTGTGTAAGACATGGTCTTAATTTGATTGAATTATTTGAATAATGATCCTCAGTGTAGCATGACTACTGTTTTATTGGAAGTTTTATTTATTTCATAATTGTGACATCCCTTGTTCTGTGTTAACTCTGATGGAATATGTCTTTAATCATTGATATAATTAATATTATCCGGGGTATTTTAGAAGGGGTGTTACAATAGTGGTATCAGAGCATAGTTGGTCTTGTCTTGTGTCGTTATCCCTTTTGTATGCAACTAGTGTAAGATGACATTGTCGATACTTGTGTGCTGATGAGATTGTTTTGTAATGTTACAAGAACAATGGCCGGAAGAGGTAACGGAAGAAACGACGATGCTATTGCTAAAGCATTGGGAATGTTGGCTGGAGTACTCGGAGGGAACCAGCAGGGAGCTGTGATTGGTGCTGACCGACAATTGGGGAATTTTTAGAGGAATAATCCTCCGTTGTTCAAGGGTGCACATGATCCCGAAGATGCTCAGAAGTGGTTGAAGGAGATCGAGAGGATCTTCAGAGTAATTGACTGTGCTGAAGGGCTGAAGGTGAGATACAGAACTCACATGTTAGCAGAGGAAGCTGATGACTGGTGGGTTGCTACCAGAACTGAAATGGAAGAAGATGGTATTGCGTTGACTTGGGCTGTGTTCAGGAGGGCTTTTCTAAGGAGGTACTTTCCTGAGGACATCAGAGGCAAGAAGGAGATTGAGTTTTTGGAACTCAAGCAGGGTAACAAGACTGTCAGTGAGTATGCTTCGAAGTTTACTGAGTTAGCGAAGTATTATGCTCATTATACTAACGATGCAGATGAAGAATTTTCCAAATGTATCAAGTTTGAGAATGGTCTTCGTGATGAGATTAAGCAGGGTATTCAGTATCAGCGTATCCGAAGATTTCCTGATCTGGTTGACTGTAGTAGGATTTTAGAGGAGGATCTTGCTAGCACTAAGTCGAATGCTCGAGGGTATGTTGATAGGAAGGGTAAGCAACAGATGGATCGTGGTAAGCCTTATGATAGAAGTAATCAGAGACCCGGTGGTTGGAAGAAGTTTGGTGGAGGAGATTCTAGTTCTTCCATTAAGTGCTACAAGTGTGGTGAGACAGGACATCGTATGGTGGATTGCAAAAGTAATGATAAGAAGTGTTTCAAGTGTGGGAAACTCGGCCATGTGGCCAATGATTGCAGAGTAAGAGTGGTGACTTGTTACAACTGTGGTGAAGAAGGTCATACTCGTCCTCAGTGTATAAAACCCAAGAAGGAGCAAGCTGGTGGTAAAGTGTTTGCATTGTCTGGGTCAGAGACTAAGCCAGATGATCGGCTGATTAAAGGTACATGTTTTATTAATGACATACCTTTGATTGCGATTATTGATACTGGAGCTACGCATTCTTTTATTGCTTTGGATTGTGCTAAAAGATTGAATTTGGAAATTTCTAATATGGATGGAAGTATGGTTATTGATACTCCTGCGTCGGGTTCAGTGACTACTTCGTATGTTTGTAGGAATTGTCCTATTATGATTTTTGGTAGGGGTTTCGGTATGGATTTAGTGTGCCTACCGTTAGAACAACTTGATATCATCCTTGGAATGAACTGGTTGGAATTCAACCAGGTTCATATCAACTGTTTTGCGAAGACGGTTATTTTTCCT